GTGTGTGTGTGTGTGTGTGTGTGTGTGTGTGTGTGTGTGTGTGTGTGTGTGTGTGTGTGTGTGTGTGTGTGTGTGTGTGTGTGTGCGTGTGTTTGTTTGTTTGTGCGTTTTTCTCATTTTTTTTGCTTCTGCTTTGACGCAATGAAATACTACAGCGAACTATTTTTAAGCGTATAGAAATCCAATAACTGTCATACATGATAACTATAACCAGAAAAACACGATTTTTGTATACATATTGTACATTTATTACATATATTACAGATTTTTAAAATAATTTACATACTTTTCGGCGAAACTTACGCACTTAGAATGGGCAGTAGTATGCACAAGAGAGATGTGCATAACAAAATCAGGCAAAATTGGCCGCAGCATCCCGCCACAATCTTGTTCTTATGCTAATGTACACGGCGGATGGCGCTCGCGTCACGCGTCGATATACCAGCCACGATAATACGATTTCGATGAAACTTACGCACTTAAACTGGGCAGGAGCATGCCCGTGTGAGATGTGCATAGAAAAATCCGCTCTCAATATTTCACTTTGGACGGAGCATCTAGCTATATCGGAGTATTTGGACGCTCTGGTATGTAAAATATATAAGTGAAATATATACACAAATAGAAAACGTGCGCACAAAATAATATTAGACGTGAATAATAATAGATTAATCTAATAATCTATTATTATTCACTCCTGATAATATTTCTCGCGTAATTTCTTTCGTGTGAGCATGAAATTAACAGCCTGTTACTGTCTTCGTAATAGAAACAAACATGTTAATTGAGTTTATCGCATTCCCGCCACACTCCAGTCAGGTGAGCATTGAAGAAGAAAGATTTGACTAGCTTGGTTCGACTTTCCAATCACTCATTAAGATAAATGCATGTTTTATGAAGTTTTAGTGTTGCTTAGTATGCAAGATATCGCGTTATTTCACATCAATATTTTTTATGAGGCATGGCCCCCGGACTGGCCGACGTAACGTACGGAGACTAAGGTACAAAAGATTGAATTTAGTGACTGAAATCATGTAATATCTTCGTAATGTTTCATTTGTATAAGAACATGTGTAACAATATTTTGGTTGTTATGGTAGTATAGTTTATTGGCGATTATAATGCAGACAATTACTTTACTTCACGCCGTTTCTTTAGAGTTTGTCTACGGCAGCATAGGCCACACTGCTGAAATTATTGTCCAATCACATATAAATATGGAGGTCGTTATCAAAATTCCGAAAAATTCGTTGTCAAAAATTGTGAAATTTGTTTTCTCATTATTGTACTCTTTGTTGCTTCGGTTGCAATGCAGAACCAAAATTCGCATATATTCTACACGAATTACAACCAGATGGCAGCACGAGGCACGCTAGCGGCTCGGGGCGCGATGATGTCACTAGCCACGTGATCGTGACGCGGCGCTTCGTATTTTCCAAAAATAGATGAATGAACGATGATGTCATTCATATGAGCTGTGAGTTTCATGAAATGATGAGCGTTCGACGTTATGGTTTTCATCAGCTTAGTCCAGTCTAGAGCCGATGTCGCCGTAGTTTAGTCAAAGAGCGTGCTCCTGGATATTTCAGCGGATGTGTGAGTACTCGCTATTTCGTCGTTATTCTGCCGCACTTCGTGTAATCGGTTGGTTCGTGAGTCGAAAGTCTCATGTGCTTACTCGGAGCCTCCCAGTACTAGCTAGCATGAGTCAGTTGTGTGATGCAGCTGATTAAGGGGCAAAGGTGAAAACTCGCTGATAGTGATACACCGCGGAGACGTACACGTATATAGTACTACTACTAGCACTACTAGTACTATACTGCTAACCCGACCAGGCTGTGTGACTGACGTCAATATACAGGTATTCTAACCCTAGCAATACCGTTTCTTGGAGCTACTAGTACTATACTGCAAGCCTAAACTTCGCGTGAAGGTGTCAGCTATATATACGTCACACTGTATGAATTTGGTTTATGATTTTAGCATGCCTAAATGAATCATATAAAATGATAATGCTTTACGCCATGCTGTAGTGTAGGTCTAGTCATGTGTTCAGTCTTAGTCATGCATTCCGTCCCAGCGTTCAGCAAGTGTGGCATTCAGTCTCACTGTGTGGGAACTAACAATTATAGGCAGTAAGGAAGTGAGTGTTCTTAGTTGACTTGCACTCGGGCTTTGCCACACTCACGTAGCCAATACTACGAACAAAGCGGTAGGCTTTTTCCACTGCAATCCGCAGTGTTGATCTGTCTATTTGGTGAGCTTAAAGTTAATTGTCTCTTTCCGTCTTCGATATAGTCCCTTTCGATATGATCAATACTTGGACTTTGAAGACTATTATTTACGAGGTTACCATGCGATTGAGACAAAAACGCATTAAGACACAAAAACACATAGTCGTATAATAACAAATAATAATAATAATAATACATAGTTGTATTCTGCGATTTATCCCCTCCATCCATCTCCACTTGTAGCGCTGTTAGCCGGACTCGAGACAAGAACTCCGTGACAAGATTTTGAGGCAGGAGACCACACGGGAACCGCGAGACGTCTTGAACAAAGCCGCTCCGCCGACCGTGATCCCGGGATCATCGCCCGCCGATGTCTGGATCCGTCGACGTGCTGCAGCGCTCCTGCTTCATCCTGGATACTCCACGCGACCACGACCACGACGCCGCCGCGCCGCTGGGCCTCGCCCGGCCGAGACCGCGATCGCTCTGCTGCGTGGCTTCACCCCCGAGCAAGCGTACGCGCGCCGCCGACGCCGCCGCCGCCGCCGCCGACTTTACCCCGTCGCCGACTTCAGGCGGATTCGGTTTCTGCCTCCCGCATCCGTTCCCGTACGACGCGGCCGCCGCGGCGAGGACGCGCAACAACGGCGGAGTCGCCGTCGCCGCGGGGCCGCTGCCGCTGCGGGCGATATCGCCCGAGGAGCTCGCGGCCCGCATGACGAAACTGAAGCCATTCCTGCTGCTCGACTGCCGTCCGTTTCTCGCGTACAACGCGCAGCACATCCACGGCGCGCTGAACGTGAACTGCGCCGACCGCTTCAACAAGCGGCGCCTGCAGCAGGGCAAGGTCGGCGTCGCCGACCTCGTGATGTCGCGCGAGGGACGCGAGGCGTTCCGGCGGCGCATGGCGTCACGCGAGGTCGTGCTGTACGACGACGCGACGGCCGACGCGTGCCACGTGACGCCGACGCACTGCCTCTACCCCGTCATCACGTACCTGCAGCGCGAGGGCAAGGTACCGACGCTGCTGAAAGGTGCGGCTTAGTTAATTAGTTAGTTAGTTAGTGAGTTAGTTAGTTAGTAAGTTACGTGCCTGCCTGTCTGCCTTCCTGTCTGCAGCGCGAGGGCAAGGTACCGACGCTGCTGAAAGGTGCGGCTTAGTTAATTAATTAGTTAGTTAGTTAGTTAGTAAGTTACGTGCCTGCCTGTCTGCCTTCCTGTCTGCAGCGCGAGGGCAAGGCACCGACGCTGCTGAAAGGTGCGGCTTAGTTAATTAATTAGTTAGTTAGTTAGTTAGTGGCGTTAATTACGTACCTGCCTGCCTGCAGCGTGAGGGCAAGGTACCGACGCTGCTGAAAGGTGCGGCTTAGTTAGTTAGTTAGTTAGAGGCGAGTTAGTTATGTACCTGCCTGCCTGCCTGCCTGCCTACCTACTTGCCTACATGCTCGCATGCTTGCCTGCGTGCCTGCCTTGCTACCAACCTGTCTGCCTGTCTGCCTGCCTGCCTGTCTGTCTGTCTGCCTGCCTACCTACCTTAATTCCTAGCTACTTACCTTGGTGCAGAATGACTCGTGATAAATACAGCCGGGGGGGGGGGGTAATCACACATATCTTAAAACGATTTATCTGTAACTTCTGACAACACCTATATCCGTGTGTTGCTGATGAGACATTCCTGAGTGAAACTGAGCTAGAATGTGCCGTAAGTAGGCTACAATGATACACCCCATCGAAAGGGTAGTGTGTTCCTCCTCTTGTGCTGGGTTAGCAGGGTTACGTTATTGTATCTAGCATTGTATCTTGTACATATATAGTCATCTTCAGTACTGAATCTGAGCAATACGATTCAGGGCCATTCCAGCATAATGAAAACTTTACTACCGTACGTTAGGTTGTTTTGGTTAGGGTTGAAACTTGTAAACTAATAAAAATACGTTGTGGAGGTTTCTGTAAGGGCTAGGTGAAGGGTGATGGTAATTGCTTAGGGTTAGGTGAAGGCTGAGGGCTTGATCCGAGTTAAGGATCATGGTATGAGGGGGGGTGCTCAGGGTTCAGTCTCATGAAGTAGACTGATGGTGTACTTTATCTAGCTATGGAATATAGTGACAAATTAAGGGATAGAAGCGTCAAGAATATAGCATAAGTGTTGGTAGCTGGATACAGGGGAATCCTCCCACAGTGTGTGAATGGCTTCGAAGGTTGGCGGTGGTGCTGGTGGTAGGGTTGGTTTAGGAAACACCTCTCCCACTTAGACTGAACCCCCGCTCAACAAAATTGTGAAAAAGAGAGTTATACTCGTTGAAGTTAGGGTATGAGTAATTTGGCCAGTTATTGAGCAATTAACTTGTGAAAATGCTTGGAAACCTCAAAGTAGGCAGCTCTTTGGATAAATAACCCTCCTGAAGACTTTTACTCGGTTGTAAACGGTTGCATATATGTTACATGTATAGTTGTGACTGCATTCGATGCATCCGTAAGTAAATCTGGTAGATTCGAACTAACGGACTACCGGTAATCTCGAACCTTTTATTACTCGTCTAGAGTATAATACGATACTAAGTCTATATATAATATATTAATTTCTCACATCATTACGTTATTACGATCGTTATAACTCGTATGCTCGTCCGTGTCGGTCGGTGTGGCTGTCGAAACTTTTAATCAACCCTCATATGGGTTGATTAATGCATACGTACTCATCGTTGTATAAGCTCGTTTCTCGTGAGAAAGTCATGGGCAGGGAAGCTTCCAGGGGAAGATAAAAGCCGTTTCATCTCGGTAGAGCGACTACCACCACCACCACCACGATCATCATCACCATCATCATCATCACCATCATCATCATCCGGCTATTACATTTCAGCGCATTTCCTCTATATAACGCGTCTGTTCTCTGATTTTCACGTAGCGATGATGCGCGCGCAGAGTCATTATTCAAGTTTCAATGCGTATAAAGTTGTTGTTGCTTGTAGTGTAGTTACAAGCAGTATAAACATTCGATTGTCTATATTATTTCGACATCAATAGCACGCAATAATTATAGTAGAAAACCCCGCGACAATTATATAAGCTTGAATAAAGCGTGAATTCTTGTGAAGAAAAAAAGAGAATACGTTCAACTCACGGACGGTTTGCATGGTGCTCGCCACGTCATACATATGTGTGTGCGTGCGTGCGTGTGTGCGTGTGACGTGTGTGCGCGTGTCACGTGTGTGTGCGCGTGCGTGCGTGCGTGCGTGCGTGCGTGCGTGTGTGTGTGTGTGTGTGTGTGTGTGTGTGCGGTGTGTGTGTGTGTCGCGCGTGTGTGTGTGTGTGTGTGTGCGCAGCGTGCGTGTGCGGCGTGTGGCGTGTGCGTGTGCGGCTCATTGGCCGTGCGTGCGCGCGGGTGCATATGTATATTGATATTATCAAGTATATATGGCAGGAGATATATGGTTATTCCCCTTGATTAGCTCGCACGGCGTTGGTTTGCGCGCGTGTTGAGTGTATGTATACACCTCCTGCGCCGACCACAGTGAGTCAGACACACACGCACACACACACACGTAGTAGTCGACATCGTGAATTAGCATTCAGGATCCCCGTGACGCACACGCACGCCGGTCGCGTTGTATGAAGGGATGGAAGGAGGGGGAGGTGTTATGTATAGCCAGCCAGGCAGCCAGCCAGCTCGGCACACACATGCTGCAAACTCATACCCCGCGCCTGCTTGATGTGGGTGATGATGACTCATGCACCCGCACCTGGCCGCACGCTTGCATTTATATACCCCCATATGTTTGCACATTTAATTTTTGGCGAAAAAGTTCGCTAACAAAAGACGGCGGAAAGTGGGCAGGCTGGTGCCCCATAACGATATACTGATCCGGCGGGGTGGGTGGGGTGTGGGGGCGGGTTGGGGGAGGGCGGTTATGACGGCCCGTGAGTGCAGAACTGATTGATTTATCGATGTGTACCAATAGTGATCAATGGTAATTAAATCACGCGGTGAGATAGCTCCTAATGCATCGATTTATACGTGTGAGTTGAGATGTGAGGGGGGGGGGAGCGGGGGGGGGGAGGACGGGACGGTCGAGCTCGTATGAAAGCCATGCAGCAGTGTATGCATGTTAGGGTGATCGTAATCTGAATTGTGATCGGTGTGAAATGTTGCACAGTTGCAACAAACGCGCCTTGAATCACGTTTCACGCCCTGAGGCCCGTTGTCAGAAGCAAAAATAGTCTTAACATTATTCGTTACAACTTTAACTCTTTCAGTTTCTCGCAGACTGAACCTCTCCCTATACAGTGCATATAAGAGAAACTCGTAACTCTACCACGTATCTCTAAACGGTCTATGAGAAAAAGTTAGAGTTTGTTGAAGACGTTTGTTGGTTTTGCTCCTGCATGTCGTCAATATATATATATACTATATATATATATATATATATGAATATATATAATATATATATATATATATATATATATATATGCGTGGATAATGCTCGGGAAGCATTACCGAGTACAATTGCATTTCGACCGCTCTCGTTTTGCCCTTTTTCCACATACTTGCCTGTAGCTATTCACGTACTATACCTACACAGTGTGTGCGCATACCTACAGCATCGGGGTCAGCTTTGCCTGCTCATACCTGCCTAAACGTTATGAACGCGTATTGTACACGTACACGGTTTGAACATATTCTCACAAAGTGTTGTGGCCCAGATTTGCAAATTGGCCGCTATTTGCAGGGTTCTACCTCTGTGGTTTGAGCGCTTGAGTTAACGAGTTTGCCAGGTAGTAGCAGGTGAGTCATACAGGTGCACGTAGAACTGGAATGTTAATAATAAAGGCCTCGTTCGAAAATACTATGAAGTTCTGCTGAACCGTTTCGTGCACACGCAGCTGCGTGCGTTCCCATACATGTATGATGTTTTCCGATCTGCGTCACAGTCATGTAATTAGGAGTGTATAATAAAGTTATAATAATCTATATTATACACTCCTGATGTAATATATAAATTCTAATATGGATCTATATTATACACGCCTGATGTAATATATCGAAGTGCGAAGATCGCATCGCAAATCACTAAAAGAATGAAAGAATGAATCGTGATGAAAGAACTCGATACAATAAAAAAATTAACGACAAAATCGAACACGATATTTTTTAATTTCCAAGCAATCGAGAAAATGAATATATAAGAATGCTAACACGGTCAAATGATTGTCGAGTCACCGCATTATTCTTGATTGTGCAGCAGTAGAAAGTACGAGAGCAGGTATAATCACACTGACGGGTTCTTGATAGTATCGAATTCAATGCTGTTATTTTTAATAAAAAAACGCCAAGTGTGTTTTCTATTGATACTCGCCCATTATGTCGCGTAGAGTATATAACACATCATGGTGGAGAATTGGAGAGGCTGTCAAACTGTGCAACTCGCAGCAAAGTCGTCGCTATCATGCGCAGCTGGTAAAATGAAATCAGCGACACTTTAGTTATATGCGATCGTGTGTAAGGGTTAATCGATAGCCGCGCGTGCGCGCACTCACTCACTCACTCACTCACTCACTCACTCACTCACTCACTCACTCACTCACTCACTCACTCACTCACTCACTCACTCACTCCCTCACTCACTCACTCACTCACTCACTCACTCACTCACTCACTCACTCACTCACTCACTCACTCACTCACTCACTCACTCACTCACTCACCCATTTACGCACTCACCCACTCACTCACTCACTCACTCACTCACTCACTCACTCACTCGCTCGGGCGTGTATGCGAACGTATTATCATATAGACTTCGGTAACAACGCGGTGTTCGAATGCGCATACATGATACAGGAAGTTGAAGGTCGTCGAAATTATCAAACCATTTCATTTGTAATCGGCTAACGACACTCAATTTAGCCAACCTCCGTGCACATCCCGAAACTTTTTTTGTAATCTTATTTTATATATTACTCGTGTGTTGAATTGCCTATTGTGCAAACGCAGCTTCGGCTGTTACATGTTTGCACCCTCGTGCAGCTTTCG